ATAAGTAGCATGCCAATTTCATCCACAAATACTTGCAGTGCCTTAGCTTTCAACTCTCCATTAGACATTTGAGCAAGCTCATTATTGAGCTCAGTAAACTCAGTCTCAACCAAATCATGAAACTATAAAAAACAATAATAATAATAAATTATAAAATAATAATAATATTTCACAAATTACGTACCAATATATGCAATGACCCCCAAAACGTATCACCCTTTTTGCGTATATAATCAGAGGCCCACAAAATAGTCTTAAGTATCTGTTTCTGTATATTATCTAATTTTTGAACCAGGTTCTTTTCAGTATCCCTGACCTCGAGCACATTTTTGCGTTTAACATCCAGTTTCTCGCCCATCCATCGATACTCCTCAAAACTGATCCCGAGCATATAGTAGTTCATTTTGCGTATGGTGGCGTTATGGGGCTGGTAGGCATCTATGACTGAAAATGCGGTAGGCATATATTTTGTGGCTCTAGTTATGAAACGTTGATAAAATCGGTCGACAATGTCCAGCCCCTGGAGTCTGTATTTGAGGCCCTGGAGTCGCATCATAGCTATGATTACGTCGATGTTAGCGTTGCTTAACTCCTGGGTCTCGTCGATGGACGCCTTGTCCCACACTTTTAAGGTCTTCCACCGGAAGTCCATCTTATCGGTTGTGGGACTACAGGTGACTGAAATGGCTAAAGAAATTAATTTATAATTTTTGAGAGAGAGAGAGAGAGTAAGTCTTTTAATAAAAATGTTAATTATTAAACTTATTTATAAAATTACCAATATAAATTGTCAACGTAAGTGTAAATAAAAAACTTAGTGAAAACTTCATATTTATTTTTTTGAAACGCTACTATTGTAAAGTAAACATAATCATTTTCTATTTATATAGAGTATGTTATTATTTTTTGCACTCAAATGTAGTAAAACCAATGTTATCACATAATACCATAATCCATTTTAGTGATAAGTATTTTTAGACATTTAATGAAAATATGTTGTATGATATAATATTTTCTACCCTAACCAGGCTCATTAATAACATATAAGCATTTTAATTAATGTTTTATTATTAAAATCAGTAAAACCTTAATTATTACTATTAAATTCAACGTGTTTAATTAAATCACTGATCGGATAACAAGTTCGCTAATATTTTAAACATACTTTGTAATTGATATTGATAACCTGTCTACTTTTTATGTAACTAATCACAATAGAAATATTTGTTTGATTTTATATAACAACAGTCCTTATAAGCCATTGATATTTTATTAAACATTTTTAATATTTTTGAAACAGTTTTATATAAAAAAAATCTAAAATGAAAAACACGATCATTTTAATTTGCACAATTTTCATAAAGTCTTTTGTTTTAAATGTTAATTTATATTTAAACGTGCACTAAAAATTATAACCTTGACAAACAACATTAAATTTTCATTATTTGGCAATTAGTATTTTTTAGAAACATAGAAAAATATGACAATTACATTTTAAAAATTAAAAATAAATATATCGTCTTAATTTACAATATGATATTTATCTAATTCTATAATATTTCATAATGTTGATATCCATTTAAATTAACAAAATACCAAGCTCATCAATAAATTCTTGCAATGCCTTAGCCTTTAACTCACCACTGGGAATTTTATCCAGGTCATTGTTTAAAATCGTAAATTGATCCAGAATTATATCGTGAACCTATTTTATTAAAAAATATAATCAATTAAATGTATACAGGGTGTTAAACACAAAAAACTTACAATTATATGAATAGCTCCCCACAAGTTATTCGACTTTTTATTTCGTATGTAATCCGAGGCCCACATAACGTTTCGCAGTATATTACCTTGTATATTCATTAACTCTTTAGCGAGGTTACTTTTGGTGTCGGTCACTTCGATGACATTTTTACGGCTAACATCCAGTTTCTCGCCCATCCACCTATACTCCTCAAAAGTGATCCCGAGCATACAATAAAATAGTCTCTTATTGGTAACATTGTGGGGCTGGTAGGTGTCCAGCACCAAATACGCGGTGGGCAAATAATTTTTTGCCTTGCTCATAAATCGCTCGTAAAAATCGGTGACAATGCCAAGACCAAGGTGTTTGTATTTGAGACCCTGGAGCTTTATCATTGACAGTATGACGTCTAGGTTAGCGTAGGATAACTCCCGGCTCTCGTCGATGGATAACCTGATCCACAGTTTTTCGTATGTTTTCCACCGAAAGTCAAACTTCTCTGATGTGGGACTACAGGTGACTGAAATAAATACTGAAATTAATTTACGATTTTTAAGAAAGAAAGAAAGAGAGAGGGGGGGGGAGAGATTAAACCCTTTAAATAAAACGTTTATTAGACCCATTTACTGGTAGATAATTTACCAATGTAAATTGTCAACGGAAGTGTAAATAAGTAGCTTAATAAATACTTCATATTTATTTTTGAAACGCTACCATTGTAAAATAAACATTGTAATTTTCTACTTATATAGGTTTTTATTTTTAGCCCCAATGTACTTTAGCGTACCCAATTTTATCAAGTAATACAATAATCCATGTAGTGATAGTATTTTTATACATGTTATATTACAAAATATTTTTTACTCAAACCTCACTCATTAACAACAAATAAACATTTAAATAATTGTTTTAATATTGATATTTTTAAATTTTCATAATTTATTTCAACAAACATAAATAAATCAATGATCAGATAACAAATGCATTAATAATGAAAAATACTTTAAAATGTTCTTGATAAATTGTCTACTAATTAAGTAACTATATAACATATTTGCAATATTTGTTTGACTTTATGTAACAACAGTCCTTATAAGCTTTTGATTGTTTAACCCTGAGTAAGGCACTATATCATCAAATAATAATTCACATGGGTTATTCAACCAGTACGTACTCTGGCCCTATAGGGGTAACGAGGTAGGGAGCTCTGTGATTTAATACAATTAAACTATTTCTAGTAAGGCGGCGTGCACAAAGTACGTACGCAAAATTTTGGTCAAAAATAGACCCCC